CTGTGTATATATATATATATATATATATATATATATATATATATATAATACAACGTTACCATAAAAATATAATAAATGCATATAAAGGTTATATATAATATGCAATTATTATAAAATATATAATGTAAATATAATTTATATTTACAATATAAAGCTACTAGGCTATATATATATATATACACATACATATATAAAATATGACTATTATAAAAAATATTTAAGACAGACAATCATTAAAATATATTTTTAGGAATGAATATAAATGTACATTCATATTTATAATTAGAATATATTATAAATAGATGTTGTATTTGTTTTATATATTTTTTTATATATAATACAAAAACAACATCCATTTATAATAAGTTATAATTCTAAATATTAAAAGGTCATGTAAAATATATAATAAATATATACATATAAAACTTTCATAATAAATTATTTATAAAAAGTATTTAATAGACAAAATATAATATAAAGATTAATATACGGCTGTTATAAAGTTATATAAATGTTTATTTATAATATATGATACGACTATTTGTGACCCTGGACCACAAAACCAGTCATAAGGGTCAATTTTTTGAAATTGAGATTTATGCATCATCTGAAATCTGAATAAATAAGCTATCCATTGATGTATGGTTTGTTAGGATAGGACAATATTTGGCCGAGATAAATGTATTTGAAAATCTGGAATCTGAGGCTGCAAAAAAATCTAAATATTGAGAAAATCATCTTTAAAGTTGTCCAAATGAAGTTCTTAGCAATGCATATTACTAATCAAAAATTAAGTTTTGATATATTTGCGGTAGGAAGTTTACAAAATATCTTCATGGAACATGATCTTTACTTAATATCCTAATGATTTTTGGCATAAAAGAAAAATCTATAATTTTGACCCATACAATGTATTGTTGGCTATTGCTACAAATATACCCCAGCGACTTAAGACTGCTTTTGTGCTCCAGGCTCACATTTAAAAAATAAAATTGGACCACACAACAATTAAACCAGCCTGAGCTCTCTCTTTTTCCGCATAATATGATCGTTTCAACTAAAATGAATATTTGAAGTCCACATACGGCATTTATTTAGCAAAATAAATACATTCAGGATAACACAAAAGAGTTCTTTATCTGATATGACCTCACAGTCCAGTATCCAGCATGTGAGTAATATATGAATATGAAAAGCAGAAGAAAAAGCATTCCTCACAGCTCGTCCGGAGTGTGTTGCTCAAGAAATAAATGGAGATGAATCAGCTCTGACATCTGGATTCTTCGAGATCTCGCACGGATGACGCTTTTGTTGTGTTAGTCAGACCAATGCTGGATGAAAACAGGAAGGATTGGCTGTGCTCGGACTTTTGTGCTCCGAATCTGAGGCAGTTTCATGATGCTCAAGGCTTTCTCTCTCAGTTCCTGTGAATGAGGAATCCAGACTTGCTAAAGAGAGAGCGAGAGCGCTTTCATGATGCAATAAAAACATGGACAATGCATGACAACAGTCCCATATATTGCTCTGCATTAGGACGATTGGTAATGTTACATGACAGGCCCGTCAAACACTTCTGATTGGCTGATTAACCAGTGTCGGCTGTAATGGTTTTCATTTATTAAAGTTATCCAAATGAAGTCCTTAGCAATGCATATTACTAATCAATAATTACGTTTTGATATATTTACGGTTTACAAAATATCTTCATGGAACATGATCTTTACTTAATATCCTAATGATTTTTGGCATAAAAGAAAAATCTATAATTTTGACCCATACAATGTATTGTTGGCTATTGCTACAAATATACCCCAGCGACTTAAGACTGCTTTTGTGCTCCAGGCTCACATTTAAAAAATAAAATTGGACCACACAACAATTAAACCAGCCTGAGCTCTCTCTTTTTCCGCATAATATGATCGTTTCAACTAAAATGAATATTTGAAGTCCACATACGGCATTTATTTAGCAAAATAAATACATTCAGGATAACACAAAAGAGTTCTTTATCTGATATGACCTCACAGTCCAGTATCCAGCATGTGAGTAATATATGAATATGAAAAGCAGAAGAAAAAGCATTCCTCACAGCTCGTCCGGAGTGTGTTGCTCAAGAAATAAATGGAGATGAATCAGCTCTGACATCTGGATTCTTCGAGATCTCGCACGGATGACGCTTTTGTTGTGTTAGTCAGACCAATGCTGGATGAAAACAGGAAGGATTGGCTGTGCTCGGACTTTTGTGCTCCGAATCTGAGGCAGTTTCATGATGCTCAAGGCTTTCTCTCTCAGTTCCTGTGAATGAGGAATCCAGACTTGCTAAAGAGAGAGCGAGAGCGCTTTCATGATGCAATAAAAACATGGACAATGCATGACAACAGTCCCATATATTGCTCTGCATTAGGACGATTGGTAATGTTACATGACAGGCCCGTCAAACACTTCTGATTGGCTGATTAACCAGTGTCGGCTGTAATGGTTTTCATTTATTTGCAGCTATTTTGTGTCTCGTTTGTCATTATTAAAGGGATAGTTCACCCAAAAATGAAAATTCTGTCATTAATTACTCACCCTCGTGTTTTTTCGAAACCCGTAAGACCTTCGTTCATCTTCAGAACGCAAGTTAAGATATTTTTGATTCAATCTGAGGGCTCTGTGACCCTCCCATAGACAGCAAGGTAACTACCACGTTCAAGGTCCAGAAAAGTTCCCA